TTCTGGGATGGTAGAACCATCAGGAACATCAGTTCCAGGCAGTGTAACTGGTTAGGTCAATGAGATATACAAGACTGACCACAACATCAAGGCAGTCGCTATCGGTCAAATAACAGAAAATCTAACTTTTGTACAGATCTTTTCTTTTTAAAAAGAAAACACTCAACTAAAGATTGGTGAATATCACCTAAAATAAAAATAAAGAAGATAATTTATTCACAATTACCACTCTGGGTTAATGTAAAGTTAAGCAATAAAATTTAACGCTGCTTTTATCCCAAAAATAATTGATCACAGTATTAGTTAGCCAGTTAGTTATCAAGTTGACCTTATACGACCTTATTGTTAGATAGAGTGTAGAAAAAACACTTCTTACAAGATGAAAAACAGAAACAAACAAAAAAAATCAAGAAAATTCTTTAAGACACCAATAAATTGATTGTTGAATGAACACGTTATACAAGTTGATGGTTAATTTTTTTTATATTCCTTTACTTTCCCAGTGGAACATAGGGCTTCAAGCTAGTGGCTTGAAGTTTCTGTAGCAGTAGTGTTTATTTTTACAGGATGGGGTTGCTAGCCTCATGCCTAACTTTCCCTCTTTGCCAGTTCTATTACTGGCTTAGCGAGGTAAAGGAGTGCGTCTGTGGCCGGGGATCGAACCCCGGACCATGTGCATGGTCGGCGAGCGTCCTAACCGCTGTGCCACCAACGCGCAAAGCGCTCCCGCGCCGGGAATCGAACCCGGGCAGCCTGGGTGAGAGCCAGGAATCCTAACCACTAGGAGAAAAGAACGTTACAGCGCACTGTACTTTTGTAAACCAATTTCACTAACTGCTATAAGAATTAGTAATAGATGAAACATTTCAAGAGTTAGTTTGCAGGGATTTGATGTGTTTCAAGTTTTGATCACGGATTGATTATCAGTTAGAGACGGATCCAATTCATCGATTCATTCATTAGCTCGTTCCAGTCACGCTAAAATCACGAATTGTGAGAAATTTAGAATTCATGGGTTACTGAGTCAGGTGTCCCAGTGGATGAATGGTCTACGAGTTTTCCTTGTAACTGGAGGATACTAGGTAAGGACCCTAGTGGATGTTATACAGTGAAGAGTCCCAAAGTAGGACGAAACACTAATGTCTATAACTCCCTGGTTTTCAATGGTTTTCTAACTGATATCAATCTGTGATCAAAACTGGAAAAGACGAAATAAAAGAACAATCCAGTTTACAGGATAGAATATAATTCTATACCAGATTCAAACAACTTTCTGAATTGCTTTATATCGCCTTACTCCCTATATGCGGTACTTGAGTTGATTCGATGTATAAAGATTAGGGGATTAACCCCTACTTCCACTTAACTATATAACTTCTTAATCCTTGAAATCATAACTTATTCTCTTGTGTGATTTTATGGAATTGAACGTATCGCAGTGACTATCATTCTAGGCCTATCTGGATTCCTAAATTCCGATAACCTAAAGGGACCAGATCCACTACTTTCACCTTTGTAATTGATTTCATAGTCATTACATGGTTTATTTAGTCAATAATATTATTTTCCTTAATTAAATCTATCAGGTCCTTATAAGTCGGCAGAGCTTTTTCTTTCAATGAAATGGTTAGTTGGTTTAAATGCCACCCTAATTTCAGCCTTATTAAAATGTTTTTTCTTTATATGGCAGTTCATTAGCAGGCCTTTGAATTCCTTATTATTTGTATTATTTACATTACTATTCCTATTTCTACCTTTCACCCACAACAGGAAACTCAGAGAGGCTTTAGAAGTGAATATAGGAGTAAGACAAGGCAGGCTATTATAAATGATAATATTCTTAATTGTGGTGGACTGGGTTATAAGTCAAACTGTGGGGAGCAAGGAGACAGGAATATGCTTGACCAATAAGAAGGCTCGAGAAGATCTGGATTTAGCGTGTGGATGATTTATGTTTATTGTCATACTAACTCGAAGAAATGCAGGCGAAAACCAACAAACTGGCTGAAGAGGCCGGCAGGCAGAGAAGACAGGAACCCAGGTGAGCATAGAGAAGACGGAGATGATGAAGATAATCAACCACCACCAATAGTAACAGCAATAACAACAAGAGATTTGACAGAGGTTACTTCCATCACCTATCTAGGAAGCATCATTTCAACCACAGGCAGTCGGACAGCACGGATGAAGATGTCAAAGTCGGCCAGTCAGAATAAGAAAGGTAAGGTACGCCTTCATCAATCTGAAACCAGTTTAGAAATCTCCTGAACTCACTCAGCCAGCATAAACTACAAGATTCGAATTTTCAACACAAATGTGAAGTCAGTCAGTCAGTTCTTGTATACGGGTCAGAAACTTGGCCAGCATGTCAAGAATAGTATTTTATCAACAGCTGCTATCTTCGTTGGCTTGCTCCACACTGAAGATCAAATGGCTCGCCAGAGAGAATTAGCAACAAGACACTGCCTGGAAACACATCAACAGGCGAGAGCCGATGGCTCAACAAATATGTAGGAGAAAATGGAGATTGGTCGGGCATACGTTGAGGAGGCCATCGAATAACATCGTGCACAATACAGGCCATCGCTTGAGTGGAATCCCAATGGGGAGTGACGAGTGAGTCATCGATGTGAGAGTGACACCGAGGAGATCGTGCTAGGAGATGAGGGATTTTTGGGCAATCCTGGACCCAGCTGAAGAGAACAGCAGATAATAGAACAAAGTGGAGACGTGTTGCTGAAGCCCCATGCTCCACTCGGAACCAAAGGGGATAATAATAATAATATGAAAGAAATCCTGAGAACAGATGACAAACTATATAGCGTAGTGTAATTTAGTAATTATGATGTACCTACCTAGAATTACTTTCTTCCGAAAATATGAAGTGCATAACTAGCCGATAGGAAATACGAATGCAATGCTTAACAAAGTTTGTTGTACAGTTGTTTCATCTTACCATCAGAACTTCTTATGAGTGCATTTTTAAAATCACACAGTGTTACACAGTAATATTAACTGATGACCAAGTTTCGAGCACAAATTATTGCTCACAATCATATCAAGTTACTCACACAACTTTTTCCTTCATTTATATATATGTATGGAATTGACTAGATCTTTGAATAAAAATCAATATGAGATAATGTACATTCAGAGATAATAATATGAAGGAAAAAGTTGTGTGAGTAACTTGATATGATTGTGAGCAATAATTTGTGCTCGAAACGTCATCAGTTAATATTACTGTGTAACACTGTGTGATTTATCAAAATAAAATCTTATCCATAATGGAGTTACACTCTACCACAGTGCCCAAGGTTTATACTTATATCAATAATGCATTTTTAAAACCTGAAACCCTACAATGCTCGTTACTCACAGACTATTCACTCTCAGACACTAAGTTGCAATTTATTGATTCACACTTTCTTAACTCTATCCATGTCGTCATACTATGCATTCTTGTCATACCATCTTACTCCTAAAGTAAGTATCACCAATGAAAACAAAATATTTCCATTAGACTAAGAAAGCCTTTTTGAAAGCATAAACCCCCCCCCCCACACACACACACACACAAACCAATTTACCAAGTATGAATGCATAAACTCATATTTTTCTGAAGACAATAAGTCATGTAAAGCATGAAAACACACACCAAAAGAGCTAAACACACCTCCAGCACTGAGGATATCATTTTGAAACGCTGAAAAGTGTTAGCGAAGTTAAACACTATAACATCAACCTGCAGCCAAAATCAAAGAACCCTCAAAATGACCCTGAAATGTAAGTCTTAACACTAACACTTTAACTATGATTGCTAGTTCAACGAGATACTCGGTAGCGGCTGAAATGTCTACAGTTTTGGATGTAAAAACAATGTCCAGTCGACGCCATCTGCTTTCTGAGTGTTATTTTATGTCAAACAAGTTTATTTTTGAATATATATTTCTAATTGTCATTCAAAGTTGTCAAACATTTCAAATATAACAGAAGATAAGGACCAATCTCTCTCTCTCCCACCCCCCCTTCTGAGTATACAACTGACGAACTCAACTAAGTGTTTGAATCAGTCTCTCTAAAATTAAAACTTTATTTTTAATACATACCCTTATAAATAATTCAAAATAACTAAAATGAGTAAAACTGCAAGAAAGGAAAAATAATTATACGGTGAAACATGAGGATTTAACGGATCTGAGAGATTGCAAAGACTCAATGCATCTAACACTACTGAGAACGATTTTGGACCGTATTATTACCAACAGTCTCAAGTTATTGATTATTTATTGTTTCGAGTCTACACCTCCCTACATGGATGGCTGAGTCAAACCAACAGTTGCAAACTTCATGGATTTATGCCAAGCTTTGTTTTGACTATCCCTAACTCTCTCTCTCCAACAGCTGTCTTCGCTCTATACTCAAGATCAAATGGCCAGAAAGAAAGAAAGTAACAAGAAACTGTGGGAATAAACCAACCAAGAACCAATCGCTCAACAAATATGTAGGAGAAAATGCAGATAGATCGGGCATATTATTGAGGAGACCATCGCATGACATCGCACGCCAGGCCCTCGAGTGTAATCCCAGTGGGAAACGACGAGTAGGCCGTCGGTGCTAGGGTGACATGGAGGAGATCATGTAGCGAGGAGGAGATGAGAGATTATGCGCAACTGTGGTCCAGACTGAAGAGGACGGCAGAAGATAGGACAAAGTGGAGATGTGTGGTTGAAGCCGTATGCTCCACATGGAACTCAAGGGAATAATAATAATTTTAATTCAATTCTATCCTACTACAGCTAAAATTGCTTGATGAGAAAGGAGACAGGTTAACACATGTATAACACATATCCTAACCATCCCCTAACTTGCGTAACACTGTACGCTTAACCTCAATGTTACTCACCATATTATACTATATATATATATATATATATATAGTCTCTAGCCATAATTAAATTGTGTGAAATCAGTTAGCTGTATGCAACATTAATACTCACCGTATGATGGTTAGATTTTTGCTATAATTAATAAAACAAAATGGTTATGCACAGTAATGTCAAAGATATCTTTTTTAAATTATGCCTCCCCCATACGATATGTAATAAGGCTTTAATATGTAAGACATTATAGTGATTAAGTTCGATACAGAAAATGATGTGTACTACTGAGTTTATAAGTCAAGCTTATAAAATGATGTTGCTTATAGAATGATGTTGCCTGGATATGATTGTTGATTATTTGTGCATTCATCTTTTGAGAGACTGAAGGATGTTGACAATTACGTAAGATAAGCTATGTGCAAACGTAAATATTCATCCTACAACCTCAGACGTTCTTGTTCTACTAAGATCATAAACAATTCAAAATAAACTAATCGTTCAAAATACGAGATATATTTCGGGGTTAGAATCGTACAGTGCTGATGATTGCTTAACTAGCTAGAGTGCATATACAAGCAACCGAACATAACACGATAGTGTGCAAAATGGTGTGGATGCTTGACCGCATACCTTTAGCTTAACAAATCGGCTCAAACAGTAAAGGTCAGTACCCGTAAAGTAATATTTTCGGGGAAATTATTTGTTATTACAGTTTCCTATATCTTAAGAATTTTATTTAGATGAGTCAAATGGTGAATAAAAACGGGGATTCGGCAAGAGTAAACAATAGACACCAAAGCCGAATGACCTTGATTAGACCAATCAGATAGCTCAGCATTGCAAATAGACGCTAGTCATAATCTTCGTTGCAAGTGTCTCCTAGATATGGTTTTTGAATTTTCCATAGAAAATGGGTTGACAGGGAGGAATAAAACATGCATATGTGGAGAGATAGTGACTCTGCAAAGGTATTGCTGGGCTATTGATGTTTATACATTCAGATGCAACTACTTTATATGAGATAGTCTGTGTAATTTGGTAAGTAACTGGTGATTTTTCTAGACACTTTCTTGTCGAAATGAAAGCTCTCCCTTAGCAATATATTGCGTATATGCGACTAGTATCTGCTATAGCTGCAGAAATGGAGAATACATTCGTTTTTTATGTCTGTAACTACCTCTATGAGGAATTGGGAGCAGTTTTTGAAGCATATTAGAAATATGATTCATTTTTATCACATAAATATCATAGGTACACATTTTTATAAATCAAGTAGCAGTTTTCACCTAGAAGAATCTGATTGGTCAAATCAAGGCCATTTGACTTTGGTGTCTATTCTTTACTGTTGCCGAGGATTCTATTGAACCGAATTCATGAATCTTATTTCCTAAGCTAAACACAAATGAGGTTATGGGGAATTCAAAGAACATACACCAAATAGGCGTAAATGCACCAGTAACCCTGAAATGAACAATTACGCTCAAAACCTAGAAAGCAACGGATCCCCAACTTAACCATAATGCTGATCTTTCTCTAACCTAACGCTAAACGGACGCGATGTCGATTTTAGTATTCTTATAAGATTGAAAAATACCCATTGAGTCGTGAAGAAAATAAACGATAGTTCAGCAGGAAAAAACCTTCTTCATCGACGAAATCATCTTCAAAGGTTGTACAGTCGTGTTCACATTTACTAAAAAATGCGTGACTATCTATTTTTGAGTAATGGGACGGGTGGGACATAATTCATACAATTACCCAGGAGTAGTTTGTAAAGGCAAAACATTACGTAGTGGTCAATGTCACAGTCGAAGTAAGGGTTCGAAATTTGATACACTGAAAATTGTTATTTGATGAGAAGTTAGTCGGTTGAGTGTCTTTTAACAAGTATGAAGAGGGTGAATGACAAATTGTATAAATCCACTTGCCTCTTTGCAGCTAGTTATATTGGCAGCATCTCTAAGTATTATCTAGCATGGTTATCAATAGGACTATGCAAGACAAGTATTAGGTTAATTCTCGGGCGCCCGATGAACTGGCGGCACGCACTGCCATTCGATTCGTCTTTTAAAATTATCTAGAGGTGAGACAAAATTGGAAAAGGGGTTTTGGCTGAAGCATTTGCCTATTGTGGAGGCGCTAGAGATTTGTCAGTACAAATCTAACTCTATGTGCAGAAAAAGTTTGTCCAGTCTCTTTTTCTATCATGGCCTTGAACTCTTTCCTACTGGTTCGCTTCCTTCGTTTTGGTAATTAATTCACTATTCTCACTTTTACATGTTCCTTTTGTACATTCCCTGACACTCCTAACACAATAATCTCCAGGTTGTTCAAATTCCAAACCTCCTACTTCCATTGACTCGTTGACTATTACGCAATTTTTATCTTTAGAAACCACTTTTGAGTAACAGCATCAATAACATCACTTATTACTCAATGCGTTGCTTTGGTAGACATAAATACGACTGTAGAGCCTTTGAAGATGGTTTCTTCGATGAAGAAAACTTTTGACCTCTGAATTATTTTTTTATTTTCGCCATAGATATGAGGTTATCAACCTGCTTTCACTCACACTGGCTTGTTTTGAAACCTGGTCTACCGAAATACTCCATTGTTATATTGTATATAATTTCTCTCTTGGTGTTTCCTACTCTGGCGAGTATTCAAGATGTCTACAAGCTGCTAATCCATAAGTTTCTACTAAAGTAAAATCTTGGGTGGCAACGTATCTCAAAGATTTTTAGTATAAATTGCCACTGGCTGAGAAGTAAAACCAAACATCCGCAGTCTTCAATTATTTAGTTATCATTGTCCTTGATTAAAAAAATATGCTCCTGAACCTTCTTTAATTGACTTTCAACCAATGTTGTGCATTCCTCGAAGAAGGTAAAGGCAAAATATCATAAGGGATCGGTTTGCACTTCAGGCCAGACAGCAGTGTATCACACAATTTCCTTTTAGGTACTAATTACTGGACAAAGAGAGACTATTATGCAATGAGGTCCGTTGAAAATTCTGTGCATTATATCAACACAGTTCAGAGTAAAGCTGCTATTATTATTACTACTTTGTCTTAAATAAACCCTCAAAGATCATGGGTGCATTCGTGCCTGTTGAGTGCCTATTCTGTAACTTTGTCGAGATGATATCTTCGAGATTATATAACTAACACAGAGCTATTCTAAATGACAACACAGCATACTTAGCTGACTCTTTATCAAGTGTAAAAAGCAAATAGAAATTATAACTAAACCCCTTTTTGCATTAAATAAATAAATATATATATTCTTACCTCCAGAGCAAACATTGATTGTCGCATTCTTTTCATATCTTCACTCCATTTACTCCGTGTATCACTAATCCACCGATTGACTTCATCATCCCAATCATCAAGATGACGATCTGAAAGTGGTACTGTTGATGATTCTGTACCAGAATGCTGCTTATGAACATCTGTTCTCGAGTGTTTACTATAACTCCGTTCCAAATTGTTAAGCATATCTTTACGACGTTGTTCAAACGTACGACTGTCTCTTGAGACAGGGATATTTATCTCTGTTCTATAGTTGTCCATTATTTTTGTTGTTGTTGTCCGATGAGAATAATTTTTCTACTGTTTCTTAGCTCAAGGTAGAATATTAGTGTTTCAACTGTGCAGTAAAACACGAAAGAAAAACAACTGTGTGTTAATTAATATTGCAAAATATATTCAAAATAAAACCTTTTGCAAGTACAGACAAATCGTCGTATCACCTTTAGGCCAACATTCCACCAATCAAATTCCGTAGACTTTACGTTACTTTTTATAGAAGAATCTGATTGGTCAGTTGTGATCATCTATGATACATGGATGGATGGACAAGTAAGCCAATACATAATAAGCAATTGCTATTGTATTTAGACTTTTGGGATTAATGAGTCATTATTATTGTTATTATTATTGTGAACTGAAAATTAATGTGGAATGTGTTGTGTTCACCCTCCTATCCACCCAACATTCCAAAGAAATCAATACTTAGAATGTAGTGTACAATGAGGATATGAAGAAATTCTTCAGAGTTTGTGGGCCTGTATGTATGTTTGTATATGTTTTATGTGCCTAATATACAGTTTTAAAACATAATTGCACACATCAAATCCTATTGATGGCCGTAGACACTGACATAGATAATTCTTTCTTAAGTCAGGTGTACTATGCATGATTGAAATAGAAGATAGATAGGCTATATAGAGACACCTATATATATATATATATATGTCTGTACATCTAAATAGAGTACATGCAATATATGTGTTTCTACAATAAAAAAACATCCTAACACCAAAAACAAATCAGAGAAAAAGGTTAGTCTAGATTAGATTAGTACTTACATTTTTGTTTCATGAAAGGATAGACAGGAAATATGATACGTATTATTGTTATTATTACTGCAGTATTCTGGTCTCCATTTAGGCATATAGACACAAAAGTATTGATCTGATATGTTGTGATCTTCTGGAATGCTAGTACTCCTATCGAAATATTTCTTTGCAGTTGTGTAAAAAAAGCATAAATCTAACGCTGAATGAGTCATCCTAAATATGTATTTTTAGTTCTATTTGATACCGTTTATTCGGTGTAAGATAGTGCCAACAAAGACCGTAGTGAAAGTCAAATGACTGCGTCAGAATTCTGACCTTGAAAACTGACCAATCAAAGTAACTCAGATTAATTTGGGTAAAAATCAATCAATAGATTCATGAGTGTGTACGAAACGTTTAAAGAAGTGTTAGAATTCCTTATTTTAGGCAGATTTCTTGGCTTAAAACTGGGACACGTTGTTAATTTTGGATTTTCAAAAGATTGGTTACTGAACAAAGAATACTCTTCTCGATAACGCCTTCATCAGCAGGCTCTACAGTTATATAAACATGATCGTAGTGAATGAATTGGTGTTATGAACAACATTAGTGTCTAAATGACATCGAATCAATAATATCAACAGATTACAGTTCAATAGCACCTACATAACAATAAACTGAATGTTTCATGCGAATTGCGATAGCCTATGATGCTCGAAGCATGCGGTGCTTCGATGATTTCGGCAATTTATTAGGCACCCGGTAGATTATAGAGAAGGATTCTTCCACGCTGGTTTTATGGCCGGTTTGCACCAGATGGTTCAATATACAACTGTTAATGATTTTCACTACACCTTTACTTGACCATACTGGGAGGTGTTCTCGAGCGAGCACGAAAAATCAAGTTCCTAGAGAAACGGCCGATATATCTGGCTCCACCACAAGCGCAGTTGAATTGGTAGATACAATTTCAAGTGGCTAGTCTAGGTACTTCATCTTTCGGTCGAGGTAGCACCATCGGTCGTGTATAAAATAAGACGTGTAGTTCGCCAGCAATAAAAGTTCTTTGAACTGATTTTCTTGGTATATCGCCCTTGAATTGCAGTCGTATATAAATAGGCTTCTTGTTTACAGATAGTGAGTAGTCCTTTTCCGCTTTCTTTGTCATGTGTTTCTTGATAAATTTTTCGGGATGGCTATTTTCAATCAAGGTATCATATACAGTGCTTAATTCATCTTCAATTACTTCTTCTGAGCATATAGTTCTGGATTGGATTTACCTATTCTTCTTTACCGCCTCTCTTTAATCTTTCCTGGGCTTCTTAGGAAGAACTTTATTGCACTGTGAAAGTCACTAAAAGTTGTCAGTAAGGCGAGTAGTGTGGTACCACTAAACCAACTTGTTAATACTGTTGTAATCGACACTTGAAGTCATTCAAGAAATTAGTATATATATTATCTCATCGAACTCCCAGCATCCTCCTTATGTCCAACTCTCTACTTGCATCTCATCAGGTAGGACTAAAGCAATCAATTATAAAAGACTTTATGACAGGACGACTAAGGATAAAGGCTCCACGATAACTTATTTGGCATGCATTCTATGTGATGAAAAAGTGTACGTCACAGAACCAATAACTTACTATGAAACACGGAGTAAATGAACCCCTTTATTCTTCCTTTCAATAATATATATCATTGTTGTTAATATTTCCACTTAAATTTTAATTTTATGCTCATGTTCTAATCCATATTATTGTCATTATAGATGTAATGTTAATGATTCCCCACTCCATTCCACTACGGTGTATTGCAAACAGAAAATTACACGCTGTACTGTATCACAGGCTGAAAATTCCACATTGTATCAGAAGTACTGTTATTATTGTTATAAGTGCGTCGCTGGCACAGCGGTTAGGTCATTCGCCGACCATGCATATAGTCTGAGGTTCGATCCCCGACCACAGACGCACTCCTTTACCTCGCTAAGCCAGAAATAAAGCTGGAAAAGAGGAAAGGTTGGGCATGAGGCTAGCAACCCCATCCTGTAAAAATAAACACCACTGCTACCGAAGCTTCAAGTGAGAGGCTTGAAGCCTTATGTTCCACTGAGAACGTGAAGGAATAAAAAATTATAATTATTATTAAAGTAATAATAACCGCATTTGAGGTAGAATCTGAGTCACGAAAGGATCCGAAATCAACAAAAGGATATTGTAGAGATGAGTGACTGGTTCCTGGGTTCAAAACCCCCTCTTCCTAGTTCACTCTTGGTGAGTCAGTTGTAAAAGTAACCGTCACATAGAAAGTGTGATATCAGAGTCTGATACATGAATAATCTTTTATAGATAATTGATTTCTGACTAAAGATATATCCTTATACAAGGGTAGTATGAAGTCTACTGTTTGAAATCTTGAGTTCAAATACGTCACCCTTCAATTTTAATTATCATTCAACTACACACTTCATTTATCGCATTTTCTTTTAAGCGAAATAAGGTGGTTTTAACTCAGTAATGTCCATGCATCTATGGTACTTTTGAGTTGTCAGCCATCTGAAGTTTGTGGTACAACAAGATGGACTACTTATGGAGATCGACTCGTTGTGGTAAATATGTTTGTTAGGACAGCAGGAGGAGACATATTATAAGTCAGTGTTTCTTACATGACCTGTATGTCAGAAATGTGATCCTAAATTAGATCGTCGAGGCATCTGCACAAGAAGCCGACATGTCAACCTGAGACCAAGCACTTCGGTCCAATCAATCGACGGGAAAATCTAAAATTAAATTAAATTAACATGACCCGTTGCACAAGAGGTGGCTCTCGTGGCCCAAGTGGTCTAGTGGATAACGCTTTGGCGTTTGAAACTGGGTTCGAACCTTGGTGAGAAAATCATCACTCACTGGGAAATGCAGGTGTGGTGAGAGCAAGCTGCTAGCCAATTGGTAGACATTGATCTACGCTGATTGGTGGAAATTAATCTAGGCTGATTCAACAACCGATCACAGCTGACCTAGACGTGGACAAATATGATTCGCAGACAAGTGGCTCGCATTTCCGAGAAATATCGAAAACGAGAAAGCAGAAGACTGCGTTTGTTTGCAAACAACCAATCAGAAGACCGCCTTCTTTCTGCGGGCAGAGCCTTATTAATGTACGTAAAATACATATAAATACCTGTTGGTTTTCGTAATAAAACTGATCTGTTGCCTGGCCCTTGTCTTCTGTTGTTACACAGGTACATCCATGCGGCGAGTCCCAAATCGGACGAAATGCGCGTCGTGGATTCCACTGCTAGTCACCACCCACCAATCAGATTAAAGGTCGTTTCATTCAATCGGTCAGACACATACTTCAGTTATGTGAAGTAACTAGATATAACTAAGTGTGATTTCTCATTAGACAAAAGAAACTATGGCTAAATTCCACTACCTGAACTGTACACATTACAAATTGCTAACTGTTTAAAAAGAAATTGTGAACTCGATTTGTGATAACACCACTCCTCTCTAGTACCTAGCCTGGTTTCAGGTGGTTTGAATGCATTCGGCTCACTAAGCTGAGTCAAATTGAGTACACTGCCGATGAGCTCAGCCCCAAAACGAGCGGAACGGCCGTCCAGTGTTTAGATCCCCTCAATATGGCTAGCAAGCAAGCAAGCACTATTTATTGATTGATGTGAACTGTATACAACTACTCATATGAATTAATCAGTAGTATATAATCATCGGCAGTATGCACTCACCAACAGGGTTCGAACCCAGGACCTTACGGTTACAAGGCGAGCTCGTAGACCATTCAGCCACTGAGATCCGATTCAATGGCACAGTGTTTAGGACTCTCGCCGACCATGCACATGGTCCGGGGTTCGATCCTCTGCCGATATCTATGGTCGGCCTGCAAAATTTGGGCTACCGATATCCATGCTGAAAACGCCATACTTGTACTGAAAATACGGTGTGGCATCAAGCTGTAATAAAAAAAACTACCAATTCGTCATTTAGCGCGACCCCAACTATTGTTGTCGGTGGGATATCCATCCTCATACGTGACATCTAATTGAACCTCACTGGTCGCAACTTCTCACTAGATTTCCAGGAAACTCCATCCTGTAGCCAGTCACTAGCGGGCATCAGATCAATTTCTATAGTTTGGTTTGTAAGAGTTAGTTTTTTTTTACGAGTTGATCATGAATTGATATCAGTTAGAGAACCATTGAAAACCACCAGGGAGTACTGGACAGCTGTTTCCTCCTAGTTTGGGAATCCTCCCTGGTTTTCAATGGTTCTCTAAATGATATCAATCCGTGATCAACTCGCAAAAAAACAAAACAAACTCTTACAAACCAAACTATAGGAAAGCAGTATATAAGTTTATGCAGTTATGCTTATTTCCTTGATTACCATTTATAGTATCAAGCTGATCATCTACTACGTCATCTGAATGATTCCGTTCTCCAAAGGATACTGTGATGAT